CATATATATACACATATAATAAACAGCACTTTCATGCGCATTTTGTGTTGTGTTGTACTACACTGGTCGATCGGCGTATCCACAAAAGTAGATAACGGAGTGCACTTTCGAACTCAATCGGGATTTGCACGCGGTCAATCAATAAATAGCATACAAAGACTAGCTTTCTACTATTTCAGAACTCTTTGTGTGCACTCCGATACTGTCCCTCTGCCCTCTAGATTTGAGACGAGGAAGCTTTGAAGTATGATGCCGGAGCGCGTAACCTATTTAATGACTGGCATACCATGATTGACCTTTGTAGTCATGTTTGTTACTTCAAACTATGTAGCCAATTCAGAAAAACCTTGCTGTAGTTCAACTTCATCAATCGCGCTCCAGGAAACAATAACGTTCTTCTCACTTGACAATTCTATGGAGACGTTAAACTTTTTAGATAAACTGCAAAGAATGATAGAATCGATCCAATCAATTTCCGTACTGACAAACAAACGATCTCTTTGGTAATGAAAACCGGCACCAGTCGATACAACTCAAGCATCTCATCGCGGTCGAGAAGGGAGTGGTAAAGTTGAGGCGCCATGAAGTTACGGTAACTAAAACTCATCAAATGCTGTACAATGGAGAAACTTTGAAGTAAACTGGTGATCGAGGCTACTGGCAAGACGCAATGAGCCCGTTTCTGCGCGATAGCGGTCCCAGAAGCGTCCTTGTTTAACGCTCACTGTTCGCTTCAATTCTCTGAACTCTGTTCTCTGTAGAGGATCAGAATATCGCGGTTTTTTTTTTCCTAATTTTGCAAAACGGGTGGTCTACGTGTTCTGCCGATCACCCGGTGTCTTTTAACGTTTCCGGCATCGTCTGTCCCAAACGGGGGCTTGGCGCGTTAATTGGGCTTGAGTAGATCCGCTGGACTGAAACGGAGTCTGTTCGCGGATAAAAATTTCGTTTCGTATGCTCGGCTGGGGTTAAACGGGTGATCGGCGGCAGCACCGCGGGTGCTACACCCAGCATATGAGAGTTTAAGATCAGCGAAGAGGATTTTCAGATTATCGCTAAACTTTCCGACGGATCTCTTTGCGACTTTCCCCATGTTTTCGGTTTGTAAACATCTATAAAAAATTTTTCCTATTTCTTTGTGTTAATCATGAACCAACTACCTGCTTTATAGGGGAAGATTCAAACAAAGATTTTATCGAAAAAAAAGTCGGAAAAAGATTCGTCGGAAAAGTAACCGTCGGGTTCCCTAGTGATATGAAATCGGAAGAGTCGCCGTTTCGCCATCTTTTCATACCACAACATCATGATGTGAGAAAATAATAAAGAAGATTGGTTGAAATCTCAGCTTTTTAAACACTGAAAAAAAAGTACAGAAAAAATGTTGGCTTGTTGCTATTATATTTGAATGTTTTTCGAAAATGCCAAATTATCGGGAAAGAATCCAACGAGAACCTAAGAACAAAGCGCCACATGCGAGCCTCTTCATCTGGCGAAAATTTCTCCATTGACCTAACGTCTTTTTCTTGACGCAGCTTAACCTTGGATAGCTTATTGGCAGATGGAACCTGAAAATTTCACTAGAAAAAGTTTAAACGTGAGAAAACCTCTTTCGTGAAAAGAGCAAACTTCGAATCATTAAAAACATTCTCAACCGTCCTTTTTTTGTTTCTCTCTGCCTCAGTAACGACACGAAGACCGGGACTGAAGCCAGTTTCCTTCTTCATGGATCGCTGAAAAACTTTCTCTTTGTAGATGTGTGCTCTTTACTCTTTGAGATCGGAACGGAAAAATCAATCTTCCACAAACATTGTGTACGCGGTGGGATAACTATCAGAGTGCGCTTCGGCAGCATACTTCTAAAGCCTCCTCAGCACTCTCAAATCAAGAATAGGGATAGCAGGGATCCGCAAAGCAGTTTTTGAATCTCATCCGATCGCTTCGATTTTGGTATCATCTTATAGCTAGTGGTCCCCATTAGCGAACCCCGAAAAATCTCGCTGAAAAGTTGAAGCAAAGCTGAGAAAAGTGAAGAAAAGAGCGCGACTCCAAGAACTCTTTTGCACTGAATCGTGTTCCGCCACAAAAGTGAGACGCCTATTCCGCCTCTTTGCAGGATGGGCGCGCTTCCATTTTGCACTGAAAGCTTTTAAAAGCCCCAATTGTGGTTACATATGTAACAT